ATAAAGTCTATAACACCTAATAATGTATAAGTAATTCATTATAACCTTTATTTCATAGATGCATAAGGTGTATTAAGCACCTTCCAGTTAAACTGATTGAATAATGAGTATGGAGATGATTGCTTTTTTTTAATAAAAGTTGTATATTGGTTATAAAAGTTTTAATATGCGCTATACACATTATTCTAGATAAACAGTTTAATAAGCCCATTTCTTTCAGTGAATCATTTTTAAAATAATGGAGCGCGAGTATCTTAAGTACTGGTTCTTCGGTTGAGAGGAATTTTGAAACTGTAGCTGATTATTTTTGGATATTTTGCTACTAGTGAAAATATTAAAATAAATAAACTCTTACGTCAAAAGGATCGGTCACGGGTCAAGGGTTATTTTTTTTAAACGACTTTTGCCTAATCAAATATCTCATACTGAAAAAGCAGACAAATAAAAAATACACATCACTATACATCACTGACATCAGTTATAATGAGTGTTCCAAAATTCACGAAAGATTTGAATTTTGCGTCATTTGAGCGGTAAAGAGTTGGCAAGGAAAAAAGTTATTAAAAATGGAGCGCTACACGAAAGAAGAACGCATTTTCTTTGCTGAGCAAGATTTTTAAAATAATAAAGGTTTGGCAGCTACAGTTCGCAATTTTCGTACAAAGTATGGTCGGAATAAGTCGTTCAACACAAAACATCGAAGCAGTTCGTGGGAGTGTTGCTGAGAATCCAGGAACAAGAATTGGACATTTCGAGAAGCTCTATATAGTGTATTTTCACGAAAGATTTGCGTCTATCACGACATGATAATCCATTTTTTGTGACTAAATTGCATGATATATATGTACAATTGTACACATCATGTGGTTTCAACAAGACAGTGCCACATGCCACCCAGCCCGAGAAACAATTCACTTACGGCATGAGTCATTTCCTGGTAGTGTAATTTCCCGTTTTGGTCAGAATTGGTCTCCTATCATGCGACTTAACGCCATTGGACTTTTTTCTTTGGGTATTTTGATGTCAAAGATTTGTGCCAACAAGCTCATGACCTCCCACACCTTGAAGGAGAAAATTGAACGCTGTATCAACGAAATTCAGGAACATTTATGCAAAACGATCATGGAAAATATCGACAAAAGTCGTATGCGTATGTGTCAGCAAAGCCGTGGGGGCCATTTACTCGATACGCTATTCCATACATAACCCTATACTGTATAGTTTATGAATCAATACAAAATTTAAAATTTTTAATATAAAACCTGTGTTTTCTATCAAAATTACTTCTTCAGGGAAATTTGGGATACCCTTTAGTTAACGTTTCAAAAAATCAATCTTTTTTCGTTATTAAAATTGAGATGGACGTATCTTTTTAATTATGTTAAATTTGTTTGTGCCTCTGCGTCCATAGAAATATGTCATGTGATGTTTGCTCTGTTATTAATTGTTTCTTCTTTAATATTTGTAGTCAACGAAAATTCCAGTGTCACGCAATAATGTCACGGACACATATCTTTCACCATGTGGAACCGAAAAATCTTTCTGTAGTAGCTGTTTTTTACTTGTCGGTTTTTGTCTAATGGTGATGGTTGGAACAACAAAGATACAAAATATTTCTTTGAATGATTTCATTTTTAACAATTTTAATATATCAGGTTTGTCGTTTTGTATTAGTTGCATTGAGACATATCATTTTTAGTTTTTAAACTGGGTAATTATTTATTTCTAGCTATTTACTAGATATTGCTGGTGTCATTAATTTTTAGTTGATGTATGTAGCCCATACAGATATAATTATTTATTTGTAGCTTTTTCAGCTACTTTCTTATTTAATTTATTTTTTTTACGTAAATAAATCTTTCCGTTAAAAAGATTAGTCAAAGGTTTGATTTTATAAATTTAGTTTTACCTAGAAGAAAATAGAGGAAATATCAACTTTCCTACTAGTTTTGATAACGAAAAAAAGATTGATTTTTTGAAATGTTAACTATAATTTTCTGCTTTTTTCGGCCTGATTTTTGAATATGCAAAAATAGTATAATAAAAATAATCTTTGACCGGTTCTTTTGGCGCAAGGATTTGTTTAATTAATTTTTAATTTTTCTGTTTCTACTAACTGCTAATATTATTGCTATTAATGATATTATAATAAAGATTTTCCAACATGCAGTTATTAAAATTATCGTTTTTATACAATTATTAAGAATTATGTAAAAAGTAATTACGTCAAATAACTTCTTTATTTTCTACATCTTTTAGATGTTTTTCAGAAACAGTTAATTTTATTTGAGATAGCGCCATTTCAATTTCATCTTAATTTTAATTCCAAAAGGCATTATTTTTAGTTCAGATTAGTCAACTATGTTTCAGATGTTAATACAGTTTCAGAAGTCGTAGACTTATTTTAAAAATATTTGGTACTGTATGTATACTTTTGAAACCTAATTTGACTACCTATGTAATGTCATAAAAATTGTATATTAAAAATGTTATTAAATGAATATAGTACAACATAATATATAATGTTGCGTAACTAAATATTTTTCTAAAGATCCTACTTCCAGCGAATTGTGAAAGATATTTGATATAGTACAAATATCTGAACTGAAAGAAGACTTACATACCTATTCTGCATTAAAATTGAATATTTTGTAATACATATGACTAACCTGAAATTCAAATTACATGTTACTAGTGAGATATTTTCTTTGTCTATTTGCTATATATTTTTATTGTTTGATTGTAATAATTATTATTTCGGCAAATAAACTACATTGTTATTATTATAATTAATTTAATAGAAGATTAGGAGGACTTACTGTAAAAACCACTATTCATATTCTAATAGTTTTGTTTTCTAATATTCTGTGTATACCTATGTATAATTCCAATATTGCTGTCTTTTCCCCTTTTCGAAGATGAAAATTGACAGCCTTGCAAATATTGTTAAATATATCTAAAGAATGTTAACTTTTCTGACCTATATATAAAATGTACGTTGTGTATCCACATCCAGTTGAGTGCGTAAGCGCAATACGGCGGATCAATCCTTTCAAAGATCCTGCGCAAATTTCCACCAAAATCGTTCTCAGTCCACCTTCATTTAGCTTAAAATCCTATTGTATAAATGTTGAAATATTGAATTATGTACTAAGTAATATTACTTTTTGTGTTAAAGCAAGAACCTAATCAAATAAAGTCATATACTCTTTGATACAGACAAATGTGTAATGAATAACATTATATAAAATAAAAATTGAAACGATCTTTCTGTTGCTAATATAAATGCAAATTTGAAAACACCATTACTGCAGTTTAAAAATTATCTCCATTACTAGTAGATACTCCTGATTGTAACATTTATAGACGTAACTTTAAATTATTAAGTTTTATTGAGATTTTGCTGAAACTTTTTCTAATTCTAGGCATTATGGAATCAAGTTTAACTCTTAAGGATTTTGTAACTTCCATACAAACCTTTGTAGATGTTTCAAATATACTGATGGATGGGTGGACGTTACAAGAAAAAGAGGTATCCCTGATTTAATTACTTTTACGACACTTAACTTTTTTATTGAATATTTTCAGGGTGCTGAAAATGGTAAATTTATAACAAAGCGATATACGACGCCTTTAAAAGCACTTGATAAGGAAGATATCAAATTTCTTGTTACTTTTGAGTATCATATTGCCTATAACTTAAGCTATGGCGTTCCCGTGCTCTGTTTTAAAGTATGGAAGCAAGGTACGTTGCATGAAGAATCAGATACAAATTACTATTATGACACGCATTTTGCAGATGGATCATTACTTTCGATGGAGGAATATTGGGCTCTTAATAAGGATTTAAAGGATTCAAACATGTACGATACGCTCACGCAGTTGGTTAGTTTAATTTTGTAATCATTAGATGAATAAGAATTAATTACAGTTACGTTTTAGGATCATCCAGTTTTATGTCAGCCATTCCTTACTCTTCACCCATGTAGAACCCAAGAGATCATTCAACCATTCTTAGGACATAGGTAGGTACCTCAACATACCTAAACACGATAATTGTTAAAAAAAATACGTATATCAGTTTTCTATGTTACACAGAGATGTATGGCAATTTGCTGCGTGATACTAATTAACTAATTCATTAAAGTCACTTACGATCAGTTTGCAATGACGTCACATTTACTAACTAAGTGTAGCCAACAGAATCACCCTAAATTCCTGTTCTGTATCGTAGTAACTGTCGTCAAACTAGGAAAGCTTATTGTTTTAAGTTTACTGCACTTTGAGACGCTGACAATGCAGTGCATTAAAATTAATCGATCGCCAGGTGACATACGTTTGACGTTTTCTTTACTTTCGATGGCAGCTCTGTGAGATTTTTGTGTATTGGAACCAATTGAAAGCGTATAAAAAGTTGTTTTTAAAATTAATAAATTAGTGGAAAAAATTAAGGGATCAAAAAAAAAATCTAAATTTTCGGCGATTTTTCAAATGGCTGAATCTTTGATAAAATTGGTCGTATTGGAGAAAAAAAAAAGCAATTTGAAGCTTGAAGTTTCTAATTTTTGAATCTTGCAAAAAAAATTTCAAATAACACGTATCGCGCAATCTTAATGAATATGAACCGCCGGCATTAGCGTTACCCAAAGCGTACCACGTGGAGGTTGCAGGGTCGGATTTACGCTTCTTTTACACACGTGTGCGAAAAGGGTTTAAAGTTATGACAAAAAAAAAATTATTCAATTTTTTTTCCACTGAAAAAAAGGTGATTTGAAAAAAACTTTGTCTTAGTGTTCTGTAAATTCGGAAAAAGCGTTTTATGAATCCAGAAGTATCGCAGCAATAATCTCTGAAAAGGGTGTAGATCGAGGTCAATATTCGGTTAGGGGTATCAACTTTTTTAAATTTAATTAAAATTCGGTCAGCATAATCACGAAATGAAGTAGGGGAATCGTGTCGAAAATGCTTGGGGATTACTGAGATAAATTTTCTGGAGTGAATCCAACGAAAAAATTTTTCAAAAAAATTTTAAAAAAAATTTTTTTTGTCATAACTTCAAACGCTCTACGTGGTACGCTTTGGGTAACGCTAATGCCGGCGGTTTTGCGAAATTTCTGAAAATCGGTTAAAAAAATTTTTTCTGCAATAAGAATGTAAAAATAATCAGGAAAAAAATGTTTTTTTTCATTTTTTTACAGATTATGAGCATTTAAATGCAAAAAAACGTGATCCTTTAATTTTTTTAAAAATTCAATCGAATGAAACAAAAAAACGGCTTGATGGATCGAATTGAAACTCTGCAGGGCTTTTAGGGGTACAATGACCTGTAAAAGGCACCCTTAACATTAGTTATTTTCCCAATATTCTCAATGTGGCACGTGATTTTCTAGAAGACCCCTAAAAGTCCTATTTTTTACGATTTTTCAGTCATGTTAAGGATAAAAAAAATTTTTTTTCTAAAAAACCGTGCCAGGACCTTGTAGAGAATTCATTCAAGTTTCTGAAACCCACCGTCGATTTTCTGTGCAACCATTGGTTTCTGAGATATCGATGAACAAAGAGAAAATGATCCATTTTCATTCAAAGTCCGATAGCTCAGCGAGAAATGGTCGTATCGAGACCAAAAAAAAAAAAGAAATTGAAGCTAAATGAACAACCTATCTAATCCATAAGGTGGTTAAGTTGGAAACATTTTTTCAAGTCCGTACACCAAAAATAAGATCGAAAAAAATTTCGAAAAATTTGTTTTCATGATATTCATTAAGATTGCGCGATACGTGTTATTTGAAATTATTTTTTTTTGCAAGATCCAAAAATTAGAAACTTCAAGCTTCAAAATGCTTTTTTTTTATTCCAATACGACCATTTTTATCAAAGATACAGCCATTTGAAAAATCGCCGAAAATTTAGATTTTTTTTTGATCCCTTAATTTTTTCCACTCGTGTAGATTAACGGTGTGTAGTACAGAGTATCTTAATAGACTACTTTGAACAGGAACGTGAAATGAAGGTCCATTTCTCCCACTTACCGCTGTAAGAGACGTAAGTTGTAATTGTTACACCAATTATGAACTGCATTTTAAATATTATTAACAATATTTATGTCAAAAATGTTGGGTTATGGCTGACAAAATGCAATATTACACAATTCTAAATGAAAATGAACTTTTTGACTGTCTTCTAAATGATTTAAATGGACTGCATCTACAAAAAATTTACAACCCGGCAAAACTGTACCATTTGGCACTGTGACGTCATTGCGAACTTATCGAAAATGGACTATACACTCTATACTTCTCTACTACACTACATTATAATAAAACAAATCTGTTGTAACGCAGCAGGACATGAAATGTACGTTGTAATTTAAGAATCCATATACCTGGAAAATGTGCCTTTGAAATTGCTTATAATTTGCAAAATATAGGATCCAGTTTAGTTATTAAACTATTTTATTTTTCAGCAAGAATCTTGTTATATCGTGGTTGAGTGTTGTTGGACCATTTGTACATTTGACACTACCAGACCAATATTTGAAACATTGTTAACGTAAATCCTAAAGGAAAAACAACTTCATTATTTTTAATGCGAAGAAGAAGCCTGTCATTTATTTGTTTAACCATACCTATGAAACTTTAGAATAAATTATACCTTAAAATAAGCTTACTAGTATATTAAGTACTTCTACGTTAATAGAAACTGTGTATAGAAATCTTTTTTGTTACCTATCGTATATTTGTATCTTTAATAAAAAACTAATACATTACATTATTACTAATTTATTTAATTAATACGCATTTTATACTGTTCAGTGAGCAAGTAGGAAGGACAAAGGCACAAGAAAGAGTTATTTTCTAAAAAAATTATTATCGTCAATGCTGGGTTATACTGTCTTTTCCGGTTTGACTTCCACGAAATTTGAAAAAAGTAATAATAATAGAAGTAATCAACTTAGGTAAATTTGCCTTTACAATTAATTGTTAACTTGATACATATTTCCTTTAATGGAAAATAAGGTTTTGTGCATGCACTGTATTCATTTTATTAAAAATATTAAATACCAAGTAATATAAGAAGAAAAAACTATGCCAGCAATGAAATAAAACACAAACTTACAAGAAAGAAAAAAATTTCAACTAATTTAAATTGTAAATTTAAAACAAAACTATTTGGTATTCTAGTAGGTAAGTTATTAAATGGATGCAATCTAATTCATAAACTTTTAATAATTTCTTATTAGGAATTCTTAACAATTGGGTAAGTAATAGGTAATAAAATTAATATTTTGTATCTGCAACAAAAAATAAAAATAAAAACCTTTCAATTTATTCAAAATTGTTCAAAATAGAAATGACTAGTGACCAGAATAGACATTGATTATTTAAATGTATTATACTGATCCATTTGACATAAGAAGATATTTTTATACATATTTTTTTAACTTTATATAAAAAACTTATACAGGGTGTACAAGGTAAAAACAACAAAGAGTAAAGTACCTTAAATCTTAACGCTACGTAAAAAAGTAATGGGGAAAAGTTGCTTGGAATTAAATTTTATGTTTAAATATGAAAGCATGGCCTTCTAGTTAATACTCGACATTCTGGGATATTCTAGGTCTCTACTTATTTTTTAATACTTTCAGAAAAGTCATTCTATTTAAAAAATATTGCTTTATTGAAAAACAGATACACATGTTTGCATATTAATAAATTATTTTTTATACAGGGGGATCAAAAACCTCAAAAACATTAATCCAACATTTATTTTGAGAACACAGCAGAATCAGTATGTACGCGCCATTACAAAACTATTCTATATGAAATCCGCCAAGTTCAACACACCTCTCCAATCTTTTTCTAAATGCAGCGTAGGTCGAATGTATCATTTCTTCATTTACTTGGGCAATAGCTTCAATTATCCTGCTTTT